CCCAATACAGAGGGCCTGGGTTTGATTCCTGGTCAGGGAACTAGATCCCACATGCTACAACTGAGACCCAGGGCAGTCAAATTAAAAAAAAATAAAATGGGCAGAGGATCTGAATATACATCTTTCCAAATAAGACATACAGATGGCCAACAGGTACATGAAAAGGCGCTCAACATCACTAAACACCAGGGAAAGGCAAATCAAAGCCACAATGAGATATCGCCTCACATCTATCAGAAAGGCCATCATCAAAAAGACAAGCAATGACAGGTGTCATTCAAGGATGTTGAGAAAAAGGAACCCTCGTGCACTATTCCTGGGAATGTAAGCTGGGTGCAGCCACAATGGACAAACAGTATGGAGTTTCCTCAAACAAACAGAACTACCATATGATCCAGCAATTCCATTTCTGGGTGTTTATCTAAAGAAAATGAAAACAGCAATTGAAAAGGATACATTTACCCCTATGTTCATTGCAGCATTTCTTACAATAGCCAAGACTGTGGAAGCAAATTAAGTGTCCACTGATGGGAATGAATAAAGAAAATGTGAATATAATGGAATATTATTCAGGCATAAAAAAGAGGGAAATCTTGCCATTTGTGACAACATGGATGGACAACAGATGAAATAAGTCAGACAGAAAAAGACAAATGCCATGGGGTCTCATTTATATATGGAATCTAAAAACAAAAACAAGCTCCTAGACAGAGAGAGATTGATGGTTGCCTGAGGAGTTGGGGGATGGGCAAAATGGGTGAAGAGAGTTAAAAGCGAATTTCTAGTTGTAAAACAAGTAAGTCCTGGGATATAAAGTACAACATGGTGAGTATAATTAATAATCCTGTATTGCATGTCTGAAAGGTGCTAAGAGAGTCCATGTTAAAAGCTCTCATCACAAGGGGGAAAAAACTTTAAACAAAAACCACTGAGTCCTATATTTTATTTGGGCGAATTTTATGGTAGTGAATTATGTTTCAATAGAGCTGTTAACCCCCTCCTCCCACACCCCAAACATCTAAGTTGCTCTTCTGCTCTGAATTCTCCCATGGCTCTCATCTCTCTGGAGGAATAAAAACCAAATTCCTCACCATGGCCCATGAGACCCCACGTGATGCAGTGGTCCTAGACCATTCTCTGCCCTCACCTCCCCCACACCCCGTTCTCCCCCTGTCACTCACTGCTCCAGACATGTTGGACTCTCAGCTATTTTGCCAACATACCAGGCACTGTTTGGGCTTCAGCACTGGCTGACCCCTCTGCCTGGGAGGTTCTTTCCCAAGAGATCCACAAGCTTCAACTCCCCACCTCCTTCAGGTCTCTGTTCAAAAGTCACCCTCTCAATTAGAACACCCGGATCAGTCTACTTAAAAACTCCTCTGCCTCCCCATCCCTCCCAATTCCTTCACATCTCTGCTCAGTTTCCCCCTCACAGTCCTTATCACCTTTTAAAAATTATAGAATTTATATATTTATTGTATCAGCATCCCCTCCTGCCCGCCACCCACCCAGCTTCCATCCCTGTGAGCAGTTCCTTGTGTATCTGTCTAGAGATAATCCATACAGAAATAGGCTGATGGGGCAATGGCTAACAGCATGGACTCGTAGGCAGTCTGAACTTAAAGGTCTGGCTTTGCTACTTCTTGGTTTCTGGTAAGTGACTCCAGAGAGCTGTGCCTCGGTTTCTCCATCAAAATGGACATAAGAGAGACTTCCCTGGGGGTCCAGTGGCTAAGACTCCAGGCTTCCAATGCAGGGGGGCCCTGGGTTTGATCCCTGGTCAGGGAACTAAATTCCACATGCTGCAACTAAAGATACCAAATGTCACAACTAAGACCCAGCACAGCCAAATAAATAAATAAATAATTTTTTTAATGGGCATAAGAATCATATCCACCTCCGTGAGAATGTCAGAATTAAATGAGTCACTGAGAATAGTCTGGCATATAGTAAGTGCTCATAGAGTGTTGGTTGTTATTTTTTTATGATTAAGCACTAAAGTCTTAAAAAGGAAGAAAGGTCAGCCATCTGCACTTCAACCATCTTGACCACTGAGTGATTTGCATATCCTGAGACAAGTCCCTTCCCCCTTTCAGCTTTAGTTGCTCCTTTTATGAAACAGAGATGGGAGAAATATTCCCAAGGGCCTGAGAAGCAATGACTTTTCCCGGAAACTTTAAAAAATAACTTTGTGAGTTCTCTGGTGGTCTAGTGATTTTAGATGGCGCTTTCAGTGCAATGCCCCAGTTCTCTGGTCAGAGAAATGAGATCCTGCAAATCTCGTGGCACAACCAAAAGCAAAAAAAGCAAAACAAAAGTAAAAAAAAAAACTTTGTTGCTGTAAAAGGAAGTATCTTTTAATCCACACACACACCACCACTACAACTCACACCTACCAGAAGGGGAGCTCCACGGGGCAAGGACTTTTTTCTGTTTTGTTCCTTACTATATCCAGATTGCCTTAGTGGGCCCTGGACATACAAGTGAGTACAGCAGACCTTACTCTCTCAGAAGTCAAAGGGACAGAGAGGTGGACACACCCGTGTAGCCCATGTAGTCACAAAGGTCAAAGCAGCAACAAATACCCATTCTTGACTGTGGAGTCAGGTGGAGATTGGATCCTAGTCCTGGCTCCCTCTTGCTTTGTGACCAGGGTAATAGCCCCTCTCTGAGTCTCTATTTACCCATCCATGCAGTTAGTATAATTATTGGGCTTATCCAAAAGAAAAATGGGCAAAAGGTGTGAACAGGCAATTCAGAGAATTACAAGTGGGTCAACAAGCATACAAAATGTGTTGTATGAAAGTAGGGAGACATGCTAATTAAAATGAAAACATTTTTTCCCCTAGATTGGCAAAATGAAAATGATTAATAGCATCTCTTGTTTGGTGAAGGGGTGAAAAAAAATGGGCCTCTCGGAAATTACTGTTGGAAATGTCAACTGAGGGTAGTCTCAGTGGAAGGAATTGTGACTATGTCAATTAACTTTTTTTAATTTTTAATTTTTTATAATTTCAAATGATTGTACTGTAATGACCAAGTGAGTCTATTTCTAGGATCCTACAGAAATATGTATATGCACAAAGAGGCATATACAAAGAAACAATTGCACTAAAGTCTAAAATATGAGACTGACGCACTGCCTACTGCGCTAAGAAGGCTCTTAAAGTCTAAAATAGAAAGAATTGAGGAGCTGACAATAAGGTTAGATCATGGGTAACCCCAACCCCATTGGAATCATATGCAGCTACTACAATGATAGGAAAATACGTCACCTAAATTTAGATGAGATGAAAAAACACCTAGAATACAACTTAGTAAAACTGACATATGAAGAAATAGAAAAGCATAAACAAATAAACAGAAAAGCTAATAAATAGTACTAACCCATCAAAGAAATTCTACTAATTAAAACCCTTCCCATATAGAAATCTCCAGGCACAGATTAAAAAATTGTTAAACAGTGTATACATATGGCTCAACTTATGTAAATAGTTTTAGCTGGACAGAGTATAACTATATGTATATTAATATATATGGACATCCCTGGTGGTTCAGCTGGTGAAGAAGCTGCCTGCAATGAGGGAGACCTGGGTTCGACCCCTGGGTTGGGAAGGTCCCCTGGAGAAGGGGATCTACCCACTCCAGTATTCTAGCCTGGAGAATTGCATGGACTATACATCCATGGGTTCGCAAAGAGTCAGACTTTACTGAGTGACTTTCACTTCACTTCATGCATATGTATAGTCTCATATATTTATATAGCTACTAGGATTCATACATGTATGCAAACACATAAAGGAAAACATACAAGGATGCACATCAAACTGATTATGATGACTTCTGAGAGAAGGCATTTGGGGCTGTCACTTTTACCTATATTATTTCCATTTCTAAACATTTTGTTTTTTATTTCTTTATTATTTCCATTTTATGAAACCATATTTATGACCAAACAAAACTCAACCTAAGGTTAGATTCATTGATATAAAATATTCAGTGGTAAAAAAAAATGCTATTGAGACCTAGGCTAGGATTTAACATCTGGTTCTAACATTACCATACCCAAAGCAAACAGTAGTTGCTCAATAAATAGTAGTCCAAAGGAAAAGTCCATTTAACCACAGAAGGAAAGTCCACCACCACATATGTAACACTGTGCATTTATTTACAAAGAGGTTAAAGAAACACACAGATTCTGGCCCCCCTGTGCACTGGGGAGTCACCATCGTCATAATAAATACAGTAATTTTAAAAAAAAAAAGAAAAAAATACTGGATTGGAACAACTGAGGGTCATCCTGGGCTTCCCCCACTCCCTCTCACAGGGGGTGCCACGAGATAGAAGCCATCTTCCTTCCACTCTTCTACCTCCCAATCCTTCATATCTGTCCAGGGAGGGAGGTGAAAGAGTTTTTCTTTCCTGGTGTCACCAACTCCTACTTGACCCTCAAAACCCCAAAGTCAGTGCTCCTTCCCTTTTCAGGGCACTCTGCAAGCACCCTCTGGGTCAGCCACAGAGTCTCTGACCAGGGTGCTAAGGGGATATCCTAAGGGTTCAAGGACGTGGAGGGGGGCACTTTGTGAATGTGAACGGGGGCCATAACTGGGCATGGAAACTAGGAATAAGAGGGCTCAGTGAGAGAAACGAAGAAGAAAAAACGGACTAACTGTCTAAACTAAAATGGGGAAATTTAAACTGTATACCATAGTACACACATAGTACAGATGAAGAAAGTGAGGCCCACAGAAAGGGAACTTTCTAGCCCAAGGGCTGCAGAGTCCGCAGCTCAGCTGGGTCAAACAGGGCTCCTCCCCAATTCCTCCCTGTGGTGGAGGAGGAGCCTTTTCAACCCAGACTGCAATGAATGGGGCAGTGAGGAAGGGTCTTTGGAAGCAGAGAGAATGGTGGTCTTTGGAAAGGAGGTGTAGAAGGGTCAGTGATTGGGGGGTGTAGTGGTGCAGAGGCCATGAAGGGGGATCCCAAGCAAACCTCTAAACTCACACTGTAGTCATGACCTTGAGAGAACCCGAACGGAAACGCAGGATCTTCTTCTTGAGCGCGTGGGAAGCCTTGATCTTCACAAAGACTTTGGCGGGGCCCGCAGGCGCCCCTCCACCCGCACCAGCCCCTGGCCCGGAGGCTGCGGTGGCTGCCACCAGCTGCTGCGGCCACACGAGGCCACCGCTGCCATCGGAGTCGCTGGATGCGGAGCTGAAGGCAGGCGACTCGCCCTCGCTGGCGCTCGATTCACTCTCCCCGTAGCCGCCTCCGCCAACGCCGCTTGCCGGGCCCCGGCGCCCCAAGGGCCCCAGGCGCCCGGCCGAACACTCCGAGTCGCTGCCCGCGCAGCCGTAGAGTAGACGGCGCTGAGGAGCTGACGGGGATGGGCCAGGACCCGGGCCTCGGGCGGCGGGGCCGCGGGGCCGGCCTCGGCGCCCATCGGCAGCGTCGATCTCGGCCGTGGAGCGCCAGCGGCGGCAGGACCCAGCGGCCTGAGCCGCGAGAGTGGGCGCTGGACCACGGCGAGGCCGTGGCGGCCGAGGCTCTTCCCTTTCGGCTGTGGGGTACTTGGGGGGACCTGGAGGAACTGCGGCGGCGCGGCCCAAAAGGCTGGTCTCGGACTGGGAGCGCGCGGCCTTGCGAGCCCTGGGCGAGCCCCGGCGGCCCGAGGCCTCGGTCATGCGTCCGCGGCGGCCCGCGGCCCGGGGACGCTCCCGGGGTGGGGACTGCTCCACGCTGCGGCCCCGTGTCAGAGGGGGCGCTTTACGGCGCGCTGCGCGGCCAGGGAGGCCGCGGGTGGCGGCCTGCGCGCCCGGGATGTACTGTGCCTTCACCAGGCGGCCCTCCGCCGGGCTGTCGGGGGGCGAGGGGGCAGCGGGCGGGGCCACGGGCTCGGGGGTCGCCTCCGCCTCCCACGGCGAGGCCCAGGCGCGGCCCAACGGGGCCGGGCTGGCGGGACGGACCCCCGCGCGCTCCACCGGGGGCTCGGGCGCGGATCGCGCGCCTCCGGGGGGCGGGGACGCGTCGGGAGGCCGCTGGCGCACGCTGTTCTGGCGCCGCGGGCCCCCGTCCGCGCCCCCGGGACTGGTCCGGGGCTGGCCCGCCCCCCGGCGGCGGCGCCTGCGCAAGAGCGCCGAGATGTAGCCGTCCAGGGGCCGCCCCGCGCCCGCGGCGTCGGGCGAGTCCGGGGGAGGGCGGCCGCAGGGCCGTGGGCTGCGCAGCGCCACGGCGTGCAGGGGGCTGGGCGTCAGGAAGGGCCCGGCGCGGGCTCGTCGCTCCGCGGAGGAGCAGGCCTCCGGGCCCGCAGACCCCGCAGCCGTCGGGTAGGGCGCCGAGAAGGACCGCGGCACGGCTGCCCTAGCGCCCACTGCCTCGGGTGCGCTGGGACTGGCGTCTCCTAGGGGAGGGGGGCAAAAAGGAAGAGAGAGGAGAAGCTCTCAAAGCCCTTTCCCTATGAGCCTAGGAGGGGCAGTTTGCCTGCCGCCTGCCCTACTCTCCCACTCCCATAGAAACAACAGTAACAACGAAGCACCTGCTCTCACCCCTTTCCACACATCAGGTTCCTAACGAAGTCTTCACAGCGGCCTCCAAGGCCTTGCATGGTCCGTCCTGCCTCTGCGTGCCTGACCTCCAACTCCTCTGCACTTAGAGGTCTCCGCCTCCTGGATACAGAGGCCAGTCTCTGTATTGGCTGCTCCTGCTACCTAAACTACCCTCCCTCAGGATGTCTGCTTGACCCACTCCCGCTCTTACTTGAGGGCGCCACTCCAACGTCACAGCCTCAGTGACGCCGTCTCTGGCCATATTTTCTACAGTTGCAGTTCCCTTCCCGGCTCCCAGAGACATGCTCTCATCCCCTTCCATAATTTTATTTTCATGGTACATGTCAATATCTACTATCCTAGGGACTTCCCTGGTAGTCCAGGGGTTAAGACTCCGTGCTTCCAATGCAGGGGGCATGGGTTCAGTCCCTGGTCGGGGAACTAAGATCTTAACATGGGACTTGACCATTAAATAAATGAAAAGTGAAAGTCATTCAGTCACGTGAGATTCTTTGTAACCCTATGGACTGTAGCCCGCCAGGCTCCTCCGTCCATGGGATTTCCCTGGCAAGAATACTGGAGTGGATTGCCATTTCTTTCTCCAGGGGATCTTCCTGACCCAGGGATCAAACCCGTGCCTCCTGCATTGCAGGTGGATTCTTTACTGTCTGAACCACCACGGAGCTTATTAAATAAATAAATAAAAATCTAATATCTTAGATGTTTTACTTATTTATCTTGTATATTATCTATTTCTTTCACTCGAATGTCAGTTTCATGAAGACAGTGATTTCTTTACTGCTCTATTCCTCACCCCTATGATATGTGCCAAGAAGGCACATAGTAGGGACTCAGAAAGGTAGTTGAACAAATGAATAGCAGCGATATCTGTTTACTGAATGGCTACCATGTGCCATGTTCCAATGTCTTTGGGCAGAGGCTCACTGAATAGTCAAAACTTCCCTGTGAAGTAGATGCTGTTATGAATCCCATTTTAGTGGATGGAGAAATAACGCCCAGAAAGAAGGAATGTGCTCAAAATCACACAGAAAGGGACAGTTACAGCCAGACTTCAAATCCAGGTTGATCTGACTCAGATGCTTGTGATCAAAACCCTGGCTCTTGGGGCCCAACCCCACCCACCTTACCTAGGGACTTGGGCCTCTCGCTGGCATAGATGCCTCGGGGTTCAGCGGGACCCAGGCGTCCATAGGAGCCAGAGCCAGAGAAGCCACTGTCCCCACAGAAAGTCGAGGGTGGTGAGTCCGGGCCTCCCGTGGAGCTGGGGTCTTCATAGAAGCCTAGATTTCAAAGAGAAGGGGAGAAAACAATCAGGGGGGCCTGAAAGGCGGACTTGGGGTGGAGGGGAGAAGATCAAGAGGCAGAGTGAGGAGCCTGAGAAACAGGAGACAGTGGGGTGGGGGGGCCCAGGCAGACCATACTACCTCTACCCATGCTTACCCGAGCTGCGTCCACTCTCCTGTTCCAAGCCCCCAGACTCCAGGCTCAGGTCTCCCAGCTGCTGGCCCAGGTCCCAGATGAGCCCAGGCAAGGCCTCCTAAGGAGGTAGGGAGAGCAAGATGATCAGAAGAGCCCCTAGTCCTCTGTCAACTGGTCTTCTATTCTAGCAGCTCATGGGCAGAGTTTCGCTTTGACAGTGAGGCTTGATTTCAAAAAGGTAAAAGCAGTACCCAACTTCCAGGATTCCTTTCAATATTTCTGTCTCTTCAACCCATTAGAAAGTCCTCCTGGTCGTCTAACTCCAGTCCCTCATGCTGCAGTCACCTCATTCCCTCTTAAGTGTGAGTGATAAGGCTTCCGAAGGCCCCATCTCTTGTCCCTTCTCTACCAGCTGTTCCCTCCATCTGGAGCTCATGGCTCCTTAACCCCTATTAGAATGCTCTTTGAGCATAACTTCAGGTCTTCCTGCTGTAAAGGCAGGTCACTGCTAGAAGTTAGTGTTCAGGACCCAGCAGATCTCTCAGCCATTCATTCATCTGCCTTCCCCCAGACTTTGACTCTCTCTTCTCAGATGCTCCCACCTCCCCTCATGGCCCCCCTTTTTAATATTTATTTATTTATTTACTTGGCTGCTCCAGGTTGTAGTTGCAGCATGTGGGATCTAACTCGCTGATCAGGGATCTAACCCTCCCCCCCCCCCGCCCCCGCATTGGGAGTGTTCAGAGTCCTAGCCACTGGACCGCCAGGGAAGTCCCCCCAGTGCCCCTTATCACCAATGAAAAGTCCTTCTGCAAGTCTTCCTTAAGTTTTTCTTGCTGCAGGCTGGCTCTGTCCCTCATTTGGGTAAAACAGGCTGACCACAATTCATATAAATCTTTGCACCCCTCAGAAAGAATCCCCTCATGTCTACTGGGGGGCTTCCCTGATGGCTCAATGGTAAAGAATCCACCTGCCAATGCAGGAAATTCAGGAGACGCAGGTTCGATCCCTGGGTTGGGAAGATTCCCTGAGGGAGGGCATGGCAACCCACTCCAGTATTCTTGCCTGGGAAATCCCATGGACAGAGGAGCCTGGTGGACTACAGTCCATGGGGTCGCAAAGAGTCTGACATGATTTAGCGACTGATCAACAACAACAAATGCTTACTGGAAAGCCCTTCTGTGAATCTAGCCTTAGTGGAACTACCATAGCAAACCCGAGGGGGTTCCATTGCCTCCAGCAGGGACCTCTCCTCCTCCTGCCCTAGCTCCATCCTCACCTAGAAGCCCTAGTGTCTGTCACAGCACCTCATCCCCATGGGAAATGTCGATGGAGTCTACCCTGGATCCTTTGTGCTGCAGGAAAAGACCGCCTCCTATCAGATGTGAATAAATGAAGGTGAAACCCTTTAAGGGGAGTGATTGGGACACGGTGGGGGCAGGGGCTGAAACAACACACATGGGGTCTCCAAGACACTAGGACTTAACCCGCTTTTGAAAAACAGGACTGGAGCCAGGAAGAGTCTCGCAGGGATCTGGGTGAGGCCAGAGGTGGGGGCAGCCTCGGGCTGACGGTTGACCCTCAGACAAAAGCGGCTTGTCTGGACGGCAGGCGGGCAGTGGGAGGGAGGGAAGGGGGGAGGAGGGGCTGAGAGGGCAGCCGCCCAGGCTTGCCTATTTAGGGCAGAAAGACTGGCCGGCTCCCCCGCAGACAACCCCCCTCCAACTTCCTATTCCTGTGGCTGCTCTCCTGGGCCCCGGTCCTTACCCCTCCCCCCCCAGAAGAGAAGCCCCCATCTGGGCTTGTATCTGGGAGGAAAGTCAACAGATCCTTTCACTTTGAGCTCAGTGGACAGAGATGCTCAGAGTGGTGTCATCCTTGAGCAGATTCCAGGGATGCAGATGCATGATGCAGTGTCAGGGATGGCTAAAACACATCAAGGACCACCCCTATAATCCCACATCCTGTCCCACACTAATCATGTCCTTGCTCTCTCCGCTGTAGCCACACTGGCCTCCTGACTGTTCCCTGAACATACCAGGCATGCTCCTAACTCAGTAGGATGTGTTTCCCCAGCACGCTCTCCTGGCTCCCTCCCTTGCTTCATTCAGATGCCTAACATGTTCCCTTCTCTGATCACTCTTTCCAAAATAACTCCCCATCGTTCTGCACCTGGGTTGCTCTGCTTTTTCCCCCCACCCCCACCCGCAACAGAGCAGCAATGACCTCCTCACTTAAAATGATGTATCAGGCTGTCATTTGTTCATTGTCTTTCTCACCAGATCGTCAGTCCCAGCCCCAGAAGAGCAGAGATTTGGGTCTGTTCTGTATACTGCTGAGCCGTCCCTGTCACCAGCCCCCCAACCCAGTCCCAGTGCCTATGACAGTTCCTGGCTCAAAGTAGGTACCCAGGAAATGTTTGGAAAAGGAATGAATGAATACAGCAGAATACTATACAGCTGTTAAAATGGATTGAGGCAATTTCTATATAATAGAACCATCATCAAGACCTATTGTGGAGTGAAAAAAGGAAAATGCAGAGGGACTTCCCTGGTGGTCCAGTGGTTAAGATCCACCAGGCAGGAGACGTGGGTTTGATCCCTAGTTGGGGAACTAAGATCCCAAATGCCCCGAGGTAACTAAGCCCACACTCCACAGCTAGAGAAGCCTGTGCATTGCAACACACAGCCCAAGTGCCATAACGCAGAGCTAGCACAGTCAAAAAAAAAAAAAAAGCAGAATGTATAGTATAATGATGAGTCAGAACTACTACCTGGGGGTTGTGTTAAAAGCTAAGTTACTGGGTCTGACCCCCCATAGCTTCTGATTCCAGGCAGGAGCCTAAGAAATTGAATTTCTAACAAGTTCCTGGGTGATGCTACTAGTCCATCAGGCCACACTTTAAGAGCTACTGCCATAGTCTCTGATACCTCACCCAAGAAACTGGAATTTGAAAAAAGCAAAGCAAACTACATATTTTGGAATGTAGGTTGTTTTTGTACATAGATGCAGAATTCACACCAGGGTGACAATGATGATCACAGGCAAGAGGGTGGATTTTAGGGAGTCAAGGGAGGGATGAGGGGACTGGATGGTAGGATGAAGTGTTTATGGAGGCGCAGCTGGGAGCTGAATTGCCAGGGTTCAAGTTCAACTCACAGCCACTTGCCAGCTGTATGACCTTGAGCTGGTTTCTGGGCCTCAGTTTCCTTGTCTGTAACATGGGCATCTTTTGATTCCAATAGGGTTTTTGTAAGGATTAAACAAATTTAAACAGCAGTTCCTTTTAAGCACTAAATAAATACTGACTTTTATTATTACATGAAAGCCATGAATTTCTAACAGGGAAAATATAAAATCATGCTTTACTGGTGTAATTAGAAATAAATGAAAAAAGATTTTTTTCCCCAGTAAGTTCTGCAGGTCCAATTTCAGTTCTTCCACTGCAGGGAAGAGCAGGAGTAAGGAAGATAAATAGCAGAGGCCTCTTCCTCCCCAGTGCCTGGACCCTACAACACCCCCCTATTTGCAAGTCTGACCTCATTTCTTCATCCTCCCAGCTGCAAGGAGATGAATCTTTAAAAGACCAGAAGGTCCTTGGCCTGAATCTGGCTCTCTGCCTATTCACAGTGCCCCTTATGGTTTTTTGTGTTTTTTTTTGCAAGCCCATTTGCAAGTGGGCCTGAGGCTGCCCACTTCAGGCAGGTTTAAGATGAATGTGGTTTGGACCTCTGGAGACCCCTTTGCCCAAACTTTCCCAGACCTTTATTGCCCCCATTCACATGCCCCTGGTCTGTGTCCAATTCCCTTGATCTCTGTTAGGAAGTCCTTCTGCAAGTCTAACTTGAGTCCTTCTTGCTGGAAGGGGATCATTTTCCTTGGCGGGAGAGAACAGCACTCCTGCCCCATTCAGGATTCTTGCCTCTTTTCTCTGAGGTTCCCCCTAATCTTTCCCTGCATCCCTATCTTTCCTACTAGAAATGAATCAATTCTGGCCTCAATCAATTCTTGTTTCAAAGGGAGTGTATCCCTGGGTGGTGGGGTGGAGGAGTCGAAGGGGTGAGCATCACACAACAGAGCTTCAGGGATCAGAGGAGGCCCCCACCCCCTCTTTGGAAGGACCCAGGAACCCCCAACACCAGAGGAGTTTATATTTAGCGCTTCTCTGCTCCTCCCTCAGTGGCGCTGTCTCCCTCCCGTTGCCTGCCACCGCCTCCTCCCTGATGCAGGGACGGAGCTCTGCTTGGAGATTGTTGGGGGTGGGGGTGGGGGGGGAGTACTGATAGGTGGGAGTAGACAGAGGGGCAGAAAAGGGGGAGACTGAGGCAGAGAGAGGGAGAGGATGAGGGGCAGGGAGGCAGGACACAGCTGGCCCATCCCCATGCCTTCTGCCTCTCTTTGGAGGGATGGGAGGTGCCTTCCCAAGCCCAGCCAGCTTAGGGTGGGGTGAGCTGGTGAGGGCCCCCACAACGCGCTTCTCTAACTTTGGGAGGGGGTGGGGCCTCCCACAGCTGTTTCTGTTTCCACAGAAGAATGTGCAGGGTCCCTCTCCTGACAGGGGGTGGGGTGGGGGGCTGGGGGGAGGGGCTGGCCATCCTGCCCCAGAGTCTGGCTTCACTTTACCCCCACCTTCCCGCCATTCCCCATCCGAGGAGGGGGCAGTCGAGGTCAATAGCAGGGAGAGCCCCCTCCCCCTGCTACCTCGGCTCAGGTTTCCCCAAACGGGAAGCTCTGACCACACACAGGCTTGGGGATGGGATCAGCAAGTGGAGCTGGGGTCTGGGGCCTGGCAGGCTGGGGGGAGGGGAAAAGAGAGACAGGGATGTGGGGCAGGAAGAAATGCAAGAAAGGAAGACCAAGGGAGACAGAGAGACAGAGGACTGAGAAGGCAGAGAGACAGGCACAGAAAGTCACAGAGATGTGTCAGGAGGGAAGAGAGTGCAAGAAACCCAGGAGAATTAAGGAATAACAAAGAGAGGCAGAGAGGGGTGATGCTCCCTAAGTCATTCTGGACACCTTGCCTCATCTTCCACCAAGCACCCAGGGTGTCTAGAAGTCAGACTCCCATGCTGCTTCAATTTGCCACCACTTGGGTAAAGCAGGGCTGTGACCAGGTAGCAAAGGAGGGAAAGTGTCACCAGAGAGGCGAGATCACCGTGGGATCCTAAGGGACTGTGAACTTCCTCTCGGCAGCAATCCCTCCCTCAGGAGGCTGGAGGATCCCCTCCCCCCTCCCAGCCCCCTCCGTAGATCTCCAAGCGCACCAGGACTTAGGGAAGACGTTTGGGGGGGGGGGGCGCTGATAGGGAGACCAGGAGAGGGTCATGTTTGGATCCCGCTGTGTGACCTTGGGTGAGTCGTTTGCCTTCTCTGAGTCTCAGGTTTTTTTCCTCTATGAAATGGGTACTATCATCCCCTTATCCCCCAAGCTGCAAGAAGACAACGCCTGCCAAATACTCAGCCCGGGCTTGACACGTACTTGGCGCCCAGATGGATTTTCCTTAGGGGTGTAGGAAATGCGGGCCTGTGCATCACACGAGGGTCCGGCAGAGGCGATGCAGCCCCCTTTCTCAGTTTGGAGGCGGGGAGGCCTGATCCCGCCCGCCGCCCAGACTCTCCAGCCCCACCCCCCTCTTCTTTTCCCCTCCTCCCTCCCCCACCCGGACGGGTGTCTGAGCATCCAACCGAGACAGACAGACAGACACAGACGAGGGCACAGGGACGGAAGGACAGGTGGCCCCTCACCAGCTGCTCTTCCAGGGCCGCTGCGGCCCGGCGCGCCGCCGCCGCATCTTCGTCCTCGTCGGCGTCCTCCTCGTCCTCGGCCTCGGCGCCCCCCATTCCGGGCTGGGCCAGCCGCAGCGCCTGCTGCACGCGGTACTCCTGCCTCTCACGGAGCCAGTGTAACTCGCAGAGACCGGCCAGGCTGCCCTCTAGCCAGCCCCGCAGCCGACCCCGCTCGGGGCTCACCGGGAACGAGAAGGCCCGGATCATGGCTGCGGCCCCCCGCCCCAGACCGGCCGGGCCCCGCGGCCACCCCTCTCCCGGTCCCACCTCCCCGCCCCAACAGCCCGCCTGCCAGCCCGCCCGCTGGCCCGGCTGTCACCGTCTCATCTGCATAGGCGCCCGCCCATTGGGCCGCCCACCCGCGCCTTATCTGCATGGCCACGCCCCCGGCGACAGAGCAACCCCGGCTTATTGGCTGGTACCCTTCCTTACGAAGATGCTCTGCTGTGCACCCTCCAAAGCGACGCATGCTCGCAGCTGCCTACTCGATCGGCTTACGGCCCTCCTCGCCACGCCCCCCTTCTCACCGCCCTTTGGGCCCTGGCCACGCCCCCCACGCGTCACAATGAAACAAGTCCTCCCTTGCCCGGATGTCATTGGTCCTGGTCTCTCCCATCCCGCAACTGGTTCCGCCCCCTTGCGGGAGAGCTCTGGCTGCCATTGGACTGTCCCGCGAGAAGGGCGGGGGTGATCTATAAATAGAGAATGGGTCCATGTGACATTTTGGCAGCTGCTCCTCTCTCCCCACCTCTCTTAACCTTCAGCTTCTGAAGCGGCACGCGGGGAGGAAAGGATTTGAGAGTCCAGTGCTGATTTTGCCTCCTCTTCCAGGAAGCCTTCCCAGATATTCAGCTGTAATACGAGAGGGCCAGGCCAACTGAGACGACATCTACCCATAAAATTGTGCTTCTAAGCGAGGCCAGCTTCACGGGCTTATGACCCGCTTAGGAGGGCCCCGAGTTTGGTTTAATACTCTGCTGTTACTGTCTTGAAATTCTTATTTTTTGAAAAAGGGCCTTGCATTTACATTTTGCACTAGGCCTTTCAAATTCGGTAGCCAGTTCTAACGTCTAAGAGTCTAAGATCGGTCATGTTCCAATTCGGGAATTATAAGACCCTGGGCCGAACAGAATCTAAGTGTCTTTTATCTCCCAGATGCTGTGAGGCTTTGCGCTCACCATTCAACGATTCCAGGGGCCTTTGTACTACGTTCTAAGAGGCTTTGTTCTCCCCCTTCTAAGATGCTCTGTTCTCAACGCTCTACAGTTCATAAGAGTCTGAGCCTGACATTCGTTTGCAAGGTTCCCTCCTCCTTCCCCTGGCTCCTTGAACAGGGCTGGTGCCCCCTCAGGCGGCCAGCCTGTGTCACTACGCTGAGTGTGCGTCCCTACTACCTTCAAGATCTAGCTCCAAAATTTATACCCATTTCTCAGACAGGCTTTGACTCCCTAAAAACCAGGACCCAGAAGATCGTGCAAGATCCTCCCTCCTTTAATGATCCCGGGTTACCTTCTGGTCCTGGACTGGAGAGACAATGTTAGAGATTGTGAGCAAAGACTTCAGAACCAGACTGCCTGGGGTGAGCCCTAGCTCTGCCACTTTCTAGCTCTGTGACCTTGGAAAACATGCTTGCCCTCTCTGTGCCCCACTTTCCTTAGCTGTCTTATCGGGGCCGTAATACTGTCTACTGCATTGAGTTGTTATGAGGATTAAGGGAGATGTTTGTCAAGTGCTTGGCGCACTTTCATTATAAAGAGCCACGGAAGGGTCTGATAAATACGTTAAAAATAATCTTGTGAGTCCTATGGAGAAAAAAAATGAGTCTGGATTTTAGTATAGATAAACTTTATTCAATCCTCCTCTTGTTTAAGACAGATGTAGACTGTCATTTATTGTTGTTGTTGTTCAGTCACTAAGTCATGTTTGACTCTTTGCAACCCCATGGATTGTAACCCACCAGGCTCCTCTGTCTGTGGAATTTCCTAGGCAAGAATGCTGGAGTGGGTTGCCATTTCCTTAAGTTACATTAATTTACCAACAGTGGGGAGATGATCAGGTTGATGAAAGGGGATATGGAAAGCTCGCTCTCAGACAAGATTTTCTTGGCAGTAAGTGTGTGGGGTGATGTCAGGATTGGTTTTCATCCCTGCTGTTTGTGCAAGACCAGTGGAACCATTTTCTGTGTAACATGTTGGATCTGGAGCTGACTTAGGGTTCTGGTCACCAGCCATTTGAGGATAAGTATTCCTAGGAAGATAAATAAAAAGAGAATTGCTCATGATCCAATTAGGGAGTAAAACCAAAGATTTGAGACAAGAGTGCAGCCAGCTGAGAGGGTTCCAAGTAAGAGATGAAGAGAGATCCTTAGTAGGTGGAGTCAGAAGAGTGGTAGAAATTTTGTGGATTTCCTTGTTGGCCTTTGGATGGTGGTGATGATGATATCTGCAGAGTTCCTGGGAATGAACATACTGCACATGACTCCTGATCTATAGATGATAGGGTAGGGGGAGCTTCCTGTGCAGATGGAGCTCTGAGCTGGGAAGGGTCTTGAAAGGGAGTATGGAAGGAGGGCATGGCAACCGAGTCTAGTATTCTTGCCAGGATAATCCCACGGACAGAGGAGCCTCGTAGGCTGTGGTCCACGGGGTCGCAAACAATCAGACACCACTGAGCAACTGGGCACCCACTCACACAGACACCCATGGAAAACTAAGATCTCACATGCCACGTGATAAAGCAAAAAAAAAAAAATTAAACAATGTAGCTAATTGTGGCATCTCATCAAAATCATTGCTGGGCCCTGAGGGCGATTGAGAGGTGGATGGACTATGAGATACTTAAGGGGTGGGGTGGCCCCTGTATCTACAAAGCTGGGGGTAGCATGCCCATTAATGGGGATGGTCATTTGCCTCTGTGAGTTGAGGGGTGTTTATGGATGCAGAGGAGGAGGTCTGCTGGAAGTCACCAGGGAGAATGAATCCCAGGTTCAAATTCCTTTTATTTATTTATTTAAATATTTATTTGGCTGCATCAGGTCTTAGTTGTAGCATATGGGATCTAGTTCCCTGATCAGGGATGGTACTCAGGCCCCCTGCATTGGGAGCACGGAGTCTTAGCCACTGGACCACCAGGGAAGTCCTTCAAATTCCTTTTTTGTATTTTAAAGCTGGACAGGCTCAAGTCCAACGTCCCTTTTCTTTATAGTACCTGTAGGTGTCTCTCTTAAGATTAGGCTTAGTGGTTTCTGATGGGCCAATAGGATGGCTTTTTACCTATTTATCTCCAGGTGCTTAAGTAGCAGGACCTTAAATTGGATTGTGTGGATTTTTTTTTTCATCCTCATGTTGGACTCTCTTGGAGTTCTGTAATCAAGCTAACATGATTTTTTTGATCATCTAATTTCTGACCTCAGGATGTTGACAAAAGTCATGGCCAGGATAGAAGCAGTGTGATTATCAAGGATCAGGCCTGAGTAGTCTTTTCATCCATCTCCTAGCCTGCTCTATCACTGCAGATGGATTTGGCCCTCTGTTGTCTACCCTTCTGGATTTTAGACCAGTCAGTTTTAGGAGAAACATTCAGGATTGGGTCTAAGAGACATGCCCCATACGTGTGGGCTTGGAATATGCCTCAGAGGTGTTCGGGTTTGTTTGGAGATCCTCATTGACTAGGGTTCATTCAACCTTTTCAAATTAAAGAGCTGCAACTCCCCAACTGACCAGGAGATGGGCTAATTTATATAAATTGGGAAGACATGGAGCCTAAGCTCCAGGTACTAGCCTAAAGTTTTGTTTTGTTTTGTTGCTAAGTCGTGTCTCTTTTGTGACCCCATGGACTATAGCCCAGTAGGATCTTCTGTCCATGGGATTTCCCAGGCAAGAATACTGGAGTGGGTTGCAATTTCCTCCTCCAGGGGATCTTCCCGACCCAGGGATCAAACCCACATTTCCGGCATTGCAGGCAGTTTTAAATTGGCTGCTGAATACTATCCTGGTTATATGGGGCTCAGGAAAATCTTTAACTACGGTGTGTAACTTCGAGCGTGACCAAGGTGTACAGAGAGCTTGGCTAAGCGCATGCTCTGATCGCTTGCCTTCAGCTCTAGGCCAAAAGTCTGGGTGATAATGGGGAGCTAGGGCAGTGGAGGACAGGGGTCAAAGGACAGAGGTTCTCTCTGCCTACAACCTTCTGGGTGAAGGTGAACTGCAAGAAGTCAGCTTAGAAGAACTGCCCCCAAAGACACCCAGGCTCATGCTAGGCTGCCCCACCCTCTTGGGCTCTCCCATTCCAGCCCTCCCCACTCTAGGTCCTCACTAGTCAGGAACAAGCCTGTCTCCCCCACAAGATGGTGAAGCCCCTGAAGGCAGGACCTGGGCTGGCTTGGTCACCACCATGTCCCCAGCATCACCCCACACAGTGTGACAAATGGATGAGCCAGCGAATGAGAGAAGTCATTATATCAACTTATAAGAAAATACCAACTACTGTGTATCGACTTTCTACCATAGATCAGGTGTGCAGTTAGTAGCAATAACACCAAATTAAAAAATTAAACCATTAATCCATGAGATTACTTGAGCTTTTCTAAATCCTTCACCCCTCCGATCATATTCCTTCTATTTCTCCTCCATTAATCTTCCCTCTCCTCTTTATGCTTTCACATTGTTTCCCTTTCTAGTCTTCCCTCCTGGCAGTGCTCCCTCTGTATATTTTTTTATCCGTTAGTTCTCCTTCCAAAACTCCTCTCCCTTCAGTGCCCCTCCCTCCACTCCTCCTCCATCCCATCTTTTTTCCAGATGAACTTCATCTTGGTGAGCAACAGACTCAATAATACGAGAGTGCGGTGTGGCCAAAGACCAAGGCCATAAGGCCAGAGATGAGTCCATTTTAATTGCTGGGGAATTAACTTTGGAAATAACCCCGGCCCCTGCCCCCGCCCCCGCCATGCCCCTCCCCCAGGGGCGTGTCCAAGTTGGGCAGGAAACTGCTTTCCTTAGAACAGTTCCATCACTGGTAAGGTGTGAAGCGCCGCTCTCCAAGCACGCAAGGACAGCATCACGAGGCAGCCAGAGTGGGAGCCCGAGACCTCAGAGGACACTGATGCGCTCGGCCAACCCCTGCATCTCGTGGTCCGAGGGTGGGAGGGTCCCACGAAGCACCCCGTCGGCTGGCAGCCCCGGCCCGGGTAGTGGGTGCTCTGCCACAAACTGCTCCCAGCGCGCATCGTCACTCTCGTGCGTGATGTACCGCTCGCCCATCTTCCCTTCCAGTTCCCGGAGGTCCAGCCACGTCTGGTACTCCTGGGCCGGGGAAAACAAAGATTAGTTTCGGTGTTGCTCAAGGGCAGCCAATAGTTGCCGGAGCATCGCCCCCATGGGCTCTGTCTACCAGTGAGAAGCCGGATACCAAGGACGGTGAAGCCACACCCTTCACAACCTACCTAGCCAATTAGCTCCACTTCCTTCTACAGCCCAGCCAATGGGAGGCTCAGCCACATTCCTAGTTCAGGGGGAAAGTACCTATAACCTAAACTACCTTAGTATCCAATAAGAGATGTGGTTCCACGCCTTCCTCTATCCCAACGAATGACTAAGCCATTCCCACTTGGCTCTCAGCCCCGCCCCTGAATCACCTGTAACCATGGGTGACTGAGAGACTTGTCCACGCTGTAGCGCTTGCGCATCTTCACCTGCAGCAGGTTGTTGATGAGGTCGATGGCTGCACCGGAAGGAGAGAGACAGTTTAAATCCTGCGGGGTGAGGGGCCGCCCCTCCTTCAACAGGCACCCCACCCTACTCACCTGCCATGGGGGCCTTCCTTCAGTGCAGAAGCCCCACCTGCACGAATCACTCTCCCACCTATTTCCTCATTAAACTACACATTTATCCCCATCCCTCACGTTGGATCCTACATCTCCCACCAAGTCTCTACCTCAGTTTCCCCATTCCTATGTCACCTTCATTGGTTTTGTCATACACAAGCATGTACAGATACATTTATACTATATTTCACTTAGTATTTTTCTTTAAGCCAACTCATTTACCCAAGATTGCTGGGATATGGACAAAGCAAGTTGGTATATATATATTGTGTATAGCATGCTGCCATCTGTGTAAAAGGAGAAATAAGAGAATGTATGTACCCATATCTGCTTGCCTAAGTATATAGACTTGTAATACACACTGCCTTTGGGAAGGATGTCAAATAAAATAATAAGAGAAAAAAAAAAGAAAGAATTTTCATTTTAGACACTTTTGTACATAGAAAAAATTTGAACCATGTACATAACCCTTGGAAAAATAGGTAGAATTTGGTTTGAAATCAATTCACTTTTTCAACTCACTTTTTAAGGTGAAAATACACAAATATATATATATATTTATATATATAATCATATAAATATGTACTTTATATAAAATATAGGATACAGAATTATATAAAATGGAAACTTTCTATCACCCTGGTCAATAGAAATCCTAAGATCACTTGCCATGTCCACAAAAATAAAATGAAAAGAAAACAATGTTATGAGATGCTAATCAGTCACCAGTTTCCTGCAGAAAGCCCAGAGTCAGAGTCCCGCTCTCTATGAAAAGGATTAGTGAGTGTCAGGCATTCAAGACAAGCTAGCACTCGTCCAAGGCTCCCTGCTTGATCATGAGCCTTGAAAGACAAGGCCCCACTGTGTAAACTCCTCTGAGTATAGGCCTTGTTCTCACAGGCTCCCTCACACACACCCATCCACACTCAAATTCACTCACATACACCGGAGGACACACTTTGACTGAGGGACTCCGGATCAGGTCCCAAAAGACAACCCCTTACACTGCTTCAGGGCTCAAGTCAACCCACCTCCTCACTGCTCGGTGCTCATCTTTCTTGGGCCACCAACACCTTTTCCTGCACTGTGTAACCCCCTCTGCCTGCTCCATGAGGTCGCACCCTCTATGCCCCTCCCCCTCCTCTTCATGGACCACTGGACCACCTTCTTTCATGATCCCTTCTCTCCAACTGATTCCAGTATTCCCAGAACCTAGGACAGTCAGTACTATGCATGAAGTAGACAGTCAACACATACTTGTTGAAGAAACTCTTAAGGATGAGCTTTGTTTTTTGTTTTTTTTTCTCTCTGCACCTTGTGTCTTTTGGAATCTCAGTTCCCTGACCAGGGATTGAACACTGGCCATGGCAGTGGAAGCACTGAATCTCAATGACTAGACCACCAGGGAACTCCCAAATGCTTGTCTTTTTAACTAACCTCCCTCCCACACTTCTGTCTTCCTGAGCTTCTGATTTCAGAACCTGCCCTTTGTTCTAACTCATTTAAGGCATCTTCACACACCCCAGTATCTTAGCCTCACCCTTGGCTCACCCTGACACCTGGCTTTGCCCCAAAGCTGGGGGCCCTCAGGAGTTAAATTTCCCAGACCCGTCTCCAAGTCGGCAGGAGCATCACAAAGACCATCAGCACTACCAGGCCACGATGCCAAAGCCCCTATATGCAGAGACCCCAAGGTCCACCTCTGTCCTGCCCCCTAGCCCCCACCCCCATAGTCCCATGCTTCTCCCGACCTCCACCTGCTCCCAGATTCCAGGCCTGACTTTGGTTTCAGGGTCAGTCCTTCCCTTAGAAAGCTTCAGAAACCCTCTGTGGCCCTGCCACTCCTTTAGTGAAAGTGTTAGTCACTCAGTTATGTCTGACT